AAAAACCCCATGTTAATGAAGTTGTTTTTCTCCCAGTTGCCAAGTGATTTGAAAGATGTGCCATAACTTGTATGCCTACRAGATTTCATTGTGTTTTGGTGCGTATGCAGGGCTTCAGAGAAACAGTTAGCTAGGGAGAAGACCAGGCTTACCACACAGCATGACTGCACCCTAAAGAAAGCAAATGTATTTACACACTTGTTTAAATTAATATTCCTGTCCCACCCAGACAATCATGATAATGAGGAATTTTTTTAAAATAAAATTGCAGCTCTGTTACATAAGTGGAATTTAGTGTGATGTCACRTTGCATGTAAGTGGTCACAACAAATAGTATTTTTGCACTCTTATGGGGAGATGTGTTTTAATTAACTTTTGCTTCAGAAWTTTTTTAACTGCTTTTCTGTTTTACACACTCTGTGTCCCTTCTCAGGCTGATAGATTTGGGGATTTTTTTTTCCTGCTTAAAGTCAACATTTTCTTAATTCTTTTTGCATCTTGTGACTTCTCTCTCACTTTCCTGTTGTTCATGCTAATTTAATTTTTCTTATTTAGAGGTCCTCTTTTCCCACTGTTTTTTAGGTGTTGAGGAACCTCTGTACTTCCCCACCACCAGCACTCTGTCTTTCTTTTCAAGTTCTTGCCAAGGTGACATAGATAAGGAGCTGATCAGGTGCAATACAAAACCACTGCCCACTGCCTTGATTTTTTTTTTTTAATGAAGTTGCTCTTTAAAATTGTTCTTTTTTAAAGGACGGCGTCTTTGTTTTTGTGTGTCCCCATAGAGTGACAGCCTTCTTTCTGCTTTGTGGTCTGGAGGATAGTGATTGGGATGAGGAGCCCTGAGCTGTGCCTCTGCTCTTCCTGTCCCATTCACCTGCTCTGGCACAGCCTCCCTGTCCCTGACCTAGGAGCAGGAGCAGCACTGAGGACCAGCAAGTGAAGGGCAGGAAAGACTCACCTTTTCCCTCTCCTCATGTCCATGGGGACTGCTTCTCAGTCCTGCTCTGCTTGGATGCTGGAGAGAGGGCGTGGACCACAGTCTCATTTTCAGTGTGGAGATGGCATCTTGTCTCCCTCAAAGCGTTGGTTAGAAGTAATTGCTTTAACAACAGGCAGAGGGAAGGGTTTGTGTCTAGTGATGCCCCATGGGGACCAGAAAGGCAAATGCAGAGCTGAAAGTGTGCAGTATTGTTTTCCATTTCCCTTAACAGCAGTATTTAAAAGCCTGCTTGTGGATGACCTGCTTCCCACTGGCAGCTCYGTCTCTCCCATATAATGACTTTGCAGAGTCTCCCATATAATGACTTTTTTGGGTGYGGTTGCCTTTGAAGTTTGAGGCAAAAATGGAATACTGAAGGGTAATAGCTGTGTCTAGTCAGTGTTTTACGTTGTGCATTTAATATAAGTCTGTACAGCATGTGGAAAACTCAACCCATGCTGGGAGCATTTGAAATGCTCTGCTGTCCCATCATCTACACCATTTGGGAAAAAAGACAGCCCTTCCCACAGTCTCATTCCAACCTCCCCACCCCCTCTCACCAAAACACTTAGAAGTTGTAATAGCATACCTGAAATGAATTACATTTGAATTTTGTGGTTTAGACTTCAGGCTTTATTTTTGTTGTGATTTAAAACCTGTAATTCTATGATGCTAATTCCAGCTGCAGATGCTCAGGGAAATGCAGTGATTGAGTTCTGTTAATATTATGAACAAAAATTAACTAGGTGATTTTATCCCTGTTAATTCAAGAGCTTTCTCTAATAATGGCCAGAACCTTATGTTTTCTGCAAAAATGGATTTGATCTGCCTGATTATGAAACCTTGCTTTTTAAATGGGCAGCTCTTCTCTCCCCTACTGGTTCTGCTTCTCTTATGCTGATTGGTGCCACCAGTATTGGCTGTCACGATCTAATTTATTGGTATAATGAATCAAATTCTCCAGTTGTCATTGTTGTAGGCACCTCATCTTCCTTTATCACCATAATCCTTTTCCCCTCTTAATTTGAACCTTTTGTAAATTTAAAAGGCCTGCCCTTGTTTACAGAGGTTGKGAGCACCTTGGTGGCAGAGGACGGTGGTGAATGCAAGTATGAACTTTTTTTTTCTCTTAAGCACATCTTGTCAATGACTTTTGCCACCAGGAGATGGGTGTGGTGTGTTGTGCTTCTCCAGATCTGGATGTTKAAAAAGAACCATTTTCATGAAGTATGATGAGATCCAGATTGCAGTATATTCTTTGAAGCTGCAGTGGCAATGACCATTAGTCTTGTTAAAGTATAGTTACATTGGTAAAAGGAATTCTGTAATGGTTTCTATATTTGAGTRCATTAATCACTGAAAAATGTTCCTGTTCACATTTCTAATGATAMATTTAATTGCAAGGTTGATAACTTGTAATTTTTTTTCTGCTTATTTCTGTGGCACTATTTAAAATTCATCTTCACATTCCTTATTCTGGTACAGTTTAAAATGGCTACTAGCTATTTTGAGACCTGTGGCTTTGCTGATTTACTGTGATGATTAGGGATGGTCAAGAATAACTTGRCAAGGACAGTATTTAGAAGTGCTGACTTGTTTAAATTATATCCTTTTTGTGTCAATATCCAAATGTGAGAAATAGCCTATTGAGTGTATTATTCTTGGGGCTGTGAGGGTCATTTCTAGGCCCCGACTGCAGAAGAGGTGGTGTTGGGGCAGTAACCTGTGAGATGCCCGGTGTGATCAAACTTCTGGCTTGGGAGCTGAGGGCAGGGAGATTTTGAACTATGTTTTATACTGCATGTGAGCACGGTGACTAACGGTGTTCTGCCTTCCATTTTATCACTCCCTGCCTCCAAACTCTTTCCTGACAGTCTTGACTCCTTTCACCAGTGATGTTCTCAGGGGCTGTAAGTGCTRTTTATCAGGAGGTTGATGCTTGATAGGTTTAATTGCTGAAACACCTTCCAAATTAATTCTCTCAGGTGCCAGCAGTTTGGTGGTTGTGCAGCCAAGCATCCACTGATGAGCAACTCCTCTGCCTTGTTTTTGCTGCTCTCAGGGTGTAGGCAACATCTATTTTTCTAAATCTGACTCTTCTTCCTTGTTTACCTGCAYGATGTGCTYGTTTGCAGCACTTCAGTTGACATAACCCGTTGGTTTGGGAGTTTGCTCTGGGTTGTGGTGTTGGGTCAGACAGATCAGACCTTCAGTGGTGTTGGTGTCTCTTCAGTTCATTACCTTGGAGTTASTCATTCTTTCTGTTCTGCTTCTTTCTTCTTGTGCCTTGCTTGCTAGTTTCTTAGACTCCCCAGTCCCCTGAACACTGACCTGGTGATTGTTTAGCAGGTAATTCCTCTTCTTGCAGTGGGACTGTAGCCTGTGGCTTCTTCCTTGTGGAGGAAACACTGCCTGTTCAAGTCCTGGCTGTTTTGTATTGATGGGATGCTCAAATATTAATTGGATAAAGTTGACACATCTCATCAGCTTTCCCCGTGTTGAATGGAAAGAAAAAAGGGGCATTGCATGGAAATGAAAAATAACTGCCCCTTCTGAGGCTGTATCTTGCAGTGTGAAGCTCCTCCCTGGTCAAATGTGGAGGCAGCCCCCTGGGCGGCATGGGTGAGGTTGCCTGTCCTCCATCCTTCCCAGCTCCCTCCTCATCTGCCACCACATCGTGTCCCCCATGATTGCCATCATATCGCATCCCCCTGCAGCAGAGCAGCCCCCACTGTGGCATCAGGCCTTGGGGCATAACCTTCACAGTGTGAGATACTTGGGATCTTTCAGATGTGGTAACGCAGAGCCCGCAGCCTGCATGGGGAATACCTTGTTCAAATATTTTCCTTGAATTAAGCCTTGTTTACAGACTGATAAGGAATACTAGAATCCCAGGGACCTTCAAAACAGAAGGTTGTGGGGATTCTTGGGTTTGTTTTACTTTCTATATTAGAAGCAGCTGCTATTTTCTTTGTAGATTGTTTTCTTTAAAATTAATTTTAAATGAAGCAATAACTGTTATATCCAGTGATTATGTGTCCAAAAAAAAAAGTTAAAAGCATATTAAATTGCTCAAGCAGAGCTTTCACTGTGAATTTCTGATACCAGTACCTTGACTTACAAGCCTTTAATGACAGGGCTCTGTGTAGCTTATGAATTGAGTAACTTCGTGTACCTTTTCCTTTGGCTTCCAGCTGAAGGAAGCAAGTGCGCAAGAGGGCACATTCTTTTGTTGTTGATAGCATTCCGCCTTAACGAGAAGGAATTTCTTGCCTATTGCCCACTGTTTATGAAGTGGAAAGAGATCACAAGTTGTATAATCTCTCTATATATCATYAGATTTATTCCTTTTTTAACATTTCTCTCACAGGTTGGTCGCTCCTGCAGCAGGTGCAGAGAGTGGGTGCTGCACCTCTGTTTTCCTACAAATCGGTGTGAAAATTGGGGGGGGGGAAGGGAGGGGGTGGGAAGGGGAGGAACTCAGAGACGAGAAACCCCCCCAAGTGAGGCAGCAGCAGCTCTGAATACAGTTTGGTTTCTGTCTCTCCGGAGCTTTGCTCAGCAACCAAACCCAGACTCCAGGTGCAGTATTCCCTCATCAGTCTGTGAGCATAGAAACGGAGCGTCCCTCCTCTTCTTCCTCCCCTGCCAAGAGTTTCTGGGTGGTGAATGTCAGTAGCTGGAGTTATTTTTAAAGGCAAGAGGTGAGGCTTGTCGTGCAAAGCTAGGAAGAGGGCGTTTGTTTGCTGAGCAGAGCTGACATCAAAGTGGAGATTGCTGCCTACTGGCTCACCGCTGCCTTATGCCAGGTAATCTTTAACATACCCCTCAGTCCCTGAGATCGCAGCCCAGCCTGCCTGTGTGCATGAGAAGTGAGCAGCGTTTATGATCCAGAAGATTGCTTTTTCAGTATTATTTACGTGAGCTGGACTTTGACATTTAAAGGCTCGCACTAATCATCTTGCAAAACCTGCTTAGTGCTCTTAACTGAGCAACTGCTTTCTACTTCTTTTTGCAGGATAATATAAATGTTTTTCTGAAAGCGTGTGAAAACATTGGACTGAAAGAAGCTCAGCTTTTTCACCCAGGAGATCTTCAGGATTTGTCCAATCGAGTTACAGTCAAGTGAGTTTTGTGGTTTTATTTTCTTCTTTCCCTTCTCCCTCTAAGCTCTTTCACGGTCTATTTTTTTTTCTTTTTAATGTTTGCCTATGGAAAATTCTTCTTTTAATCTGGTATGAGCAGTTCTGAATACTGTAGTGAGGGTTTAAGCCTTGTTAAAACTAGTAGATAAGACGTGCAGAAAWGCAATTTAAAAAGTGAGGTGTTATTATAATACTTACCTTGCAAGTAAGCTAATTGTTAATGAATATTTACAGCATTTAATATGAGATGGAAACTGTTCAGCTTATCTTGGTCTTAGAGCAATATTTTTAAATGGTAGCAAAAGCATCAGTTCTCTTTATGATTTGTGATTACCCATGTAAATCTGAAAGGCTGAGGTGGTACTTGTGAAATTTTTCCAAATGCATTTGAGGCTTAGGTATGGTGTTCCTGACGGACTGCTGGTCTTGCCATTCCAGATATTAATCACATGTTTGTCTCTGAGTTTCACATCCCCTGTCAAAGGGGATGTGTGAGTGTGTGAGTAGAAATTAAGTTCTGAGTTGCACAAAGGGTAATTGGCATGTTTACGGAGATGGGAGTTTTCCTGTGAAATAGCAGTGGCTTAGTTCTGAAATATAATMGTGGATTTTCATATTTCAGGACTGCTTTGTCTCATAATAAGAATTTTATTGCCAATTTCTGAGAGATTAAGGTGAAAGTTTACTGGATAGACAGGTGTTTTAAGATAAATGAGTGAAGGCAAAAATCATCCTAGCGCATCTTGATTTGATACAGTGTGAACTGGTTTTATTATATTGGGACAAAAGGTGAATTGTCTCAAAACAACAACAAAAAATCTTTAGTGGGTTTTGCTGGAAACCTGTCAAGTTAAATGTGTAGGATTGATTCCTGTCTTAAATTACCAGTTTTATCAAAGAGGAACAGGCAGTAATCCTTCTGTAAATACCAGGAAAAAAAAATATTGTGAAATGACATGTAACTGCTTTAATTAGAAAGAAATCTCTTGTAGGTGGATCGGGTGGTAGCCTGTTGACATGTTCTCTGCCTGGTTCCAGAATGAAAGTTCATACTGTTTTGAGGTCTGGTACATGAGATGGCAGTGTGTTTTCCAGTCTTTGACTCATACCCGAAACGTAATTTCTCACTAATCTGGTGTTTAGGGACTTGGCACCCTTCCAGGATGTTGGTATTTTCTCTGCTGGTTCCTACGTCATGCCAAAAGCTGGGGGGGTTGGTAACCTCTGCCATGCTTAAATTATCCACAAAGCCCTAGCAGACGTTATATTGGTGGAGGTTTGCTCCAAGGGTATGGCTGGCAAGGGTTGGAGGCGGTCAGGAGCTGGTGTTGAGCGGCGTCGATAGCGACAAGCTGGAACCCCGGGGAGGTCGGGATAGCAAACTGTTGTGCAAGGTATGTTGTCCAACTCGTCCGCACGTTAAACCGTGGCACCCGAGTGAGGTCAGCCGTGAAATTCATCCAGTGGATCTGTAACTGAGGGGTTTTTGGGTCCTTTCAGCAGYGCCAGTTCCTTTCCCGGCTCCGTGAGCAGAGAGTAAGGCTGGAATTTGGAGTTGTCACGAGGCAACAGGGGTTTTGCATCATACCTTCTCAGCAATGGTTTAATTAGTGTTTTTCAAAAAAGCAGATTTAACTATTGAGTACTTCTTATAGACAGCAGTGCGGGGGGTCTGGGTTGGAGTCAAAAGAGCTGCCAGCCATACAACCCTGTTCTTGTAATTTGTTTCAGAGTAAGTTTGCTTCTCCACACATTATATATCATATGACAGTCCCACAGTGTGTATAAAATGCTTACAGAGTAATTCAAAACTTCTGTATCGGAACATGCTGTAAAGTGGTGTCCTAACTATACTAGCACTCTTTGATGTGTTGAGGAGGTTGGAGAGGGATGGGAGGGAAGTTTTATTCCAAGAAATGAAGGAAATAAGTTACATGAAGATAACTCTTTCCATTGAAAAGTTAATTATAGAAATAATTTGATTACCCAGAGGGCAAGCTATTCTTCAGAGGATTTTCAGAGAGATTTATATGTGTGTCAGGAGAGAAATGTTGTCTGATCAGGAATTTTATCTGATGTGTCTTTTTATTATTTAATAGAAATAAATAATTTCATAAGTAATATGAATAAGTATTTCAATAAGTAATTTCATTCAAGATTAATTACAAATGCCTTCAAAACTTCTGGATGTCAGGCCTCAGAAAAGGGGTGCTATTCCATATCTTGCTTTCATGGTATCCTTTGTTAACTCTAGTTTCATAATTAAAAGTAAACAATTTCTTCTCATGAAGAAGGAAGCCTTTTTAAAACTTTGAATTTAACATTTGGATTTCTAACATTCCTAAGCAAATTCATTTTGCKGCTGTCACCTGAGGCTTGTTGCCCACACCTTAAAGCAGCTGTGATATGCTGTATGGGATAACATTAGCATGTGCCTGAAGCAGTGTGTATTTTGACACCRCAAGAGGACTGCTGTGTTCCGCTGTTGCACCACTGTTAGCACACTTTTTTTTTTTAATCTACCCAAAATAGATTAAATAAACTGTTGCTTARAAAAGTCATCTTAACAGGCTGGGATGCCAGAGAACAGAGTGCTGGTAGGACACGTGGATGTACTGTCMGGCATGACAAGGTGCCTTTCCACCTTGGACGTGGAAAATTGGTCAGAGGAGGATACCATTGAAAGGGTGGGGCTGCTTCTGCTGCTAAGGAGGACATGAGAGCATCTTACATAAGAGCAAAACCAGTCTCTTGCACTGTCTGGGAGGCTGCATCTCTGTCCCTGTCACACTTGTGTAAYTGATCTGACACCTCTGGTGCTGGGGAGGTCCTCAGGAGGGACACGCACCTTTTGAGRTGGATGAGCTCTGTGAAATGGTGTTCCCTGTGCTTCTTTTGTCTCTGCTGCCTGGCAGTTATGTGTGGTATCTCCTCCTTTTTACCTTGTGGAACTCATATGCCCTTAGGCTGTTGGCATCTCAGACTGCCATCCTGTCCCACCTGGGCAGGCTTCCTTCCCAGCAGGAAAAGTTATTTTCTCCTTGTACTTTATTTCTGAGTGTGCTTGCTGCCTTTCACTGGTATCTAATCAACGCCACCACAAAGCCATTCAGACATACCAAACTCTGTATGTGGTGCAGTGTTCTTGTGTCACCTGAGTTAAGGAAAAGACCTGTTGTTCCTCATGAACAGAATCTGTTATAAGAAAATTCTATCTGATGAGGAGGCTACAACTTTCCCTTGTATTTTGTTTTCTATTGCAACTGAGATGATGCACAGGCATGCTTTATAATTACTAGAAGTAATCTGGGACAGGAGAAGCAAGAATCCTCTTACATACCCAGACTTTTAGTTTCAAGTGATTATGTGATTATCCTTTTTGCAAAGAAAAAGCTCCTTAAAACTTTATTGTTTAGAAGTTTGTGTGAAAAAGGCTGGCTAAAATTACTGGTTGCTACTCCAAGCCTTGCAAACTTTATGCTTTGCCAGATCAGCAAGATTAGTAGTTGGGTGGTGTGGAAAAACTGTCCTGGCATGGATGGTTTCTTTTCTGCCAGTGAAAATGGGAGTGTGGATTAATGTCTGAGATTTATAGTTCAGTCTTTCTGTAAATCTGCAGAAGTTATTGCTCAGTGGTATAGTACAGCAATATGTCATGTGTTTCCAGGAAAGATCATCCAGATGGATTTATTCCTCACATACCATGTCTGGCAGTCATATGCATATCATCTTGTTCAGTGGCTAGTTATTTGTGTAAATGCATATATGTCCCTCTTCAGTTCTTTCAGTATATTAGATTTTTTTTAGCCTAGGATTTTATTATTTCTAATTGGAGATGTTGTTTTACAGCCCAGCAGTTAGGGAGGATTTTGTTTTTCATTTATTTATACTAATGCAAGATTGTCTTAATACTTCATTTGATTCTTTTTTGGTTCTGTCAAAGTAAGAATGTAATACAAGCTTAGTGACGCTCAGTTGTCAGCATGGTTGCTATTTAAAAATGTTAAGCACTTCCTTACCCAGCTCTTTAGGGGTGACACACCCAGTTGTTCCCAGCTGTGGAAGGGTTCTTAATAAAATCATACCATGGAGTTAAAAAAGGAGAGTTCACATAGGCAGACACCAAACTTCAATTCTGGTGGAATTATCCCAATTATCAGTTTTTAAGGTTTGAACACTCTGAGTGTGTAAACTCAAATTTCTCTTTTCTTTGAAGTAAATTAATTCTTCTACATGAAAAAAATTGTGTAAAATGAGATACCCAGTTAAAGAATCTCATTAAATTCTAATAATAAATCCAAACAATGACAGGTCAATAGATTAAAATATTAAACTAAGAAAAAAAATCACTGCAAAATCCTAAATAGCAAACTATTTTGAAGCTACCACAGCCCCTGAGTTCTGATGATAAAGTTTTACCATACTAATTTCATTTTTCAATAAAAGATCAAATACTTGGCTTCCATTAATATCATTACTACAGTGTTATATCAGAGTATGTCTTGAGTGAAACTCAAAAACTGTGGTGCCAGCTGGACCACTGTGTCCAGCTCTGAGGCACCCACTATAGGAAGGATGTGGACCTGCTGGAGTGACTCCAGAGGARGGCCATGAAGATGAACAGGGAGCACCTCTGATACGAAGATAGGCTGAGAGAGCTGGGGTTGTTCAGCCTGGAGAAGAGAAGCTCCAAGTAAATGTTCCAGCTCCTAAAAAGGGCCTAAAAGAAAGATGGAGAGGGACTTTTCACAAAGACACATGAGATAAGACCAGTGTTAATGGTTTTAAACTGAAAGAGAGTGGGTGTAGTTTTAGATGTTGGAAGGAAATTCTTTACTGTGAGGGTGGTGTGACATTGAAATAGATTTTSCAGTGAAGCTGTGGATGCTCCATCCCTGGAAGTGTTTGAGGCCAGGTTGAATGGGGCTTTGAGCAATCCAGTCTGGTGTGGAAGGTGTKCCTGCCCATAGCAGAAGGGTT